CGGGCGGCAGTACTCGCCTCGCAAGGCGCGCACCGGCTGCTCTGGCTGCTGCGCCGGCGGCCGCTGCGCTGGCCGCTGCTGCGCCGGCTGGCGGGCGGCACGGCCGCCGGCGGCCGCTGCACCCGCGCCTTCCCTCGCGGGCGCCGTCGCGCCGCGCGCGCCCAACTCTGCTGGCACACGGCACGCGTCGTCACACAGCCGCGGAGAACAGGCGGTGCAGCGCGCGAAGCGCGCGCGATCTCGTACTTTTAAGGCTGGATCCGGCCATTCCAAGGGTATACCTTTGAGAATCCCCAGCGTCCCACCCTCCTAGTCACACTCTCAATATCTCGACTAGCCAACACGAGGTGCTGCGATCGGTATCGGCGGCGGCACCACGCGAGCTACGCGCGAGCGCTGCGCGAGGAGTGGCTCGCGCATCGCGCGTTTCAGGACGCCGCTCGAGCGGCTGCGGCGGTCCCAGCGCCAGGCTGTGGCGCGCGGCCAGCTAAGGAGGTTGCGATTAGTGTGCGGACGGAGTGCCAGAAGTGGTGGCGAGCGCGTGTTAAGGGGAACACGGCGGCGTACTGTGCGGCGGCTGCATTGCCCGTTCGTGTATAATTTGTAAAATTTGTGTGCAGATATTAATTAATCACAATATCTCGCGCAATCTCGAGAGCAATCTCCCAAAATCTCGCCAGACAGAGCGCGTCGCATGGTCGAGGCGCTACATAGGGCGCTACGTGTCGACACGTACGAGATACATGCGCCATGCTATCCGCTGTGCGGTCTGTACGGGCCGCGCCGACGGCAGAGCGCCGAGCGATGGAGGGCCAGCGCGCGCGCGGGCCTCATGCCAGCACGCGGTAGTGCGTAAAGTCGGTCGCGCCCGCGTCGGTGTGGGCCTCGAGGTCGGCCCGCGTGACGACAAAGGTGTTGTCCTGCCACCCCGCCGTCATGGTGTACTTCATGTTGGGCCGTGGCGGCTGGTCTGGCTGCGCGCCCGTCTGGAAGGTGCCGTTGCGGTCAAAGTAGGAGATGCTGAGCTTCAGGACCAGCTTCGACTCGGCCGCCATATACTCGATACTGGCCGGGCCTTCCTGCAGCATCATGTAGCCGCCATGCCAGGCGGGGTCCCTCAGCTGCTTCATGGTCGGAGCGACCGACCACGCGCCCATCCCCACCGTGTCGGCCACCTCGTCGGCGCTCTCAAAGTCGTACCCGATGCCGGTGTGGCGGTCGCCCGTCCACTCCGCCACGGGCCACGTGTCGAGGGAGGTGAAGGCGGCGAACGAGATGCCCTCGAGGACGATGCGCGCGTGGATCAGCTTGCGGGGCGCCTCCTTGCCGCTGGTCTGCGCGACGATGGCGATTTGCAGCCGCCGGATCGTGATCTCCCTTAGGCGGCTGCCCGGCGGCGCAATCTCGCGCGAGATGACGAGGAGAGAGCGGCGGAAGAGGGGGGGCGGCGCGGCGCGGAGGCCGTCCGAGCCGACGAACGTCTCGAACGAGTAGAGCTCGTCCGGCGCGAAGTGCAGGTTGAGCAGCGCCAAGTAGCACGGGGCCACGATGATGACTGGCACCGCTTCGAAAATGGAGAGGTCGAACGTGCGCTGCTGCATTGGCCTGATGACGAGCTCGCGCTCGAGCACGCCGAACCAGGCGCGGTTGCGCCGCGGCTGCGCCGTGAGCCTCGCGCACGCTTGCTCCTCCTCGGCCGGCACCGCCTCCCACGCCGCCACGAGAGTGCCGCCCGAGTCCTGGGGCTTGTACTACTCGAGAGTCGAGCTGCGGAGGGGGCCGTGTGTGTGTGTGTTTTTGGTTCGCAAAAACTTTTAACAAATTTTAAAGCAATAACATACTCCATTCGTACGGGGGCAGTACAGGTGTGTGCGCCATAAGAGTCTAGCAGTGTGTGCAGCAGCTAAGAGGGATTCGCTCGAGCGGCGGCGATCGCGGCGGAGCGACCGCGGCGGTCGCTCTACGCTCACGCGGTCACGCCGCGGGGTCGTAGGCGAGGTAGGGGCCCATCCACCGCTCCGCCTCCTCCATGCTCATCCCCTTGCGGCTGGCGTAGTCGGTGATCTGGTCCTTGCAGACCTTGCCGACCTGGAAGTAGGTGGAGCACGGGTTGGCAAAGATGACGGCGGAGACCGATGCGGCGGGCAGCATGGCAAACGAGTCGGTCATCGTGATGCCCGTCGCCTTCTCCGCGTCGAGCAGCTCCCACAGGAAGGCCTTCTCGGTGTGGTCGGGCTGCGTCGGGTAGCCGGGCGCCGGCCGGATGCCCTGGTACTTGACCTTGAGCATGTCGTCGGCCGAGAGCGCCTCGTCGGGCGCGTAGCCCCAGAGCTCCTTGCGCATCTTGTGGTGCAGCAGCTCGGCAAAGGCCTCGGCGAGGCGGTCCGCCACCGCCTCCATCATGATGCCCTGGTAGTCGTCGCCCTCGGCGCGCAGCTTGGAGCAGACCTCCTCGCACCCAAAGCCGCACGACACGGCGAAGCCGCCGACGTAGTCCTTGACGCCCGACTCCTTGGTGGCGACAAAGTCGGAGAGCGCGAGGTAGTGGTCGTCCTCGCGCTCCTCCTGCTGCCGGAGCGTGTGCAGCACGCCGCGCACCGCGCCCGAGCCGTCCGCCGCGTACACCTCGATGTCGTCGCCGACCGCGTTGGCCGGCCAGATGCCGACGACGGCGCGCGCCTTGAGCGTCTTGTTCTTGATGATGTCGGCGATCAGAGCTCGACTTTAATTACGCC